CAATATTATAGCATTAATTAATAAATATCTTTGTAACACAATTTTCGAATTTCGCTGAAGTTGGAATAGATGTATTCAGAAACTTTCGAACCATGTGAATGAAATGCTTTGAGTTTTTTCAACCGTCTTCATCTTTATTATTATACTTCGTTTTCTCCATCATGAATCTATTGCCAATATACTATTGTTTCTAGACACTTCGTAAAGTCTCTCGATCACTATAATATTCACGAACATTGTTGGTAGTCTAGAATTACTTTTATAAAGTTGCTTGATCTTAACATTACAGACCTTTTAGTTAATATATATACATAAACACTGAAAAGATAGCTGACAACAATATATTTCTTTAATATAAATATCTAAAATGATTCGTTAAAAATACCAGGTTAATCAGATCCACAACTATAGTTCAGTAAAGTTGAGTTCAGAAGAAAAATATTTATTTCCCCTAAATAGTCTTGGGGCAAAACCTTTTGTTCCCCCACCTTCCCATTAAAACGTTTTCCATGTTTCAGAATATTTTTCAATTCAATATTTCAATACCGATTTTGAGGGGTCCCAGAGCACCTGCCCCACCTATTATTATGCCACTGCTCTGCTCAGTATAGTGTTAACCTTTAGCGTTCAGTCTTTTAACTTTATATTAACAGCAAATTTCTTCAATTTGTTTTCAAAATTACACGCAAAGCTAGAGAGGCTACTGTGCATAGCCGTTCCTTATCTTGAACTAATGGATTAGTGACAAAGCAGACAGTCAACAGCATTCAACGCCAACTATTGGGCTATTCTTGTCTGAACAATAAGTCCCGCAATCGAAAAGTCTTAAATGTATGGTTGTTGTTTGTCTATAGGTTACCTTGGTCCTGCAGTTTAAAATGGTTTAGGTTCTCGCGTGCTCGATCACAGAGTCAGTGGCCTTTTTTGTCCAATATATAATCTACTGCACGTTTTACAAATTATGCAATAAATGATGCATCCAGTAGTGCATGTACAGGATTTTCGTTCGTTGATTTTTTTTTTCCTTGAATATGTGTAGTGCTGTTTATATGTGGACAGGTGACACATCTGAAGTATCATATTGTTTTTAATGTTATGTGTACAAGGATTTCTTTTAAGTTTGTGTCATGTCTGTAAGCAATAATTGATGGGTTCTAAAAAACAGATTTATTGGTTAGGCCTTCGGTAAGTATTGTGTAATTGTTTAGATATCAATCTTTGATATTCTTGATGTTATGTTAGCACAAGCGAAATTTGGTCAGTGTTTTTTTCTTAGTAGGGTTGAATGTTTATTCTTGGGTATATGAATTAACCTTGTAGCGTATCATGGATAAGAAAATCAGAATAACCATTTTTTTTGGAAAAGAAAGTTTTCATATCTCTCGTCTTTTATTTATAATTATTATTTTTATTACATAGTTTGCGTAGTAAGAGAAATTGTGAGTAGGGTATTAATTTGTTTGTTACTGTACGGGTGTAAAGATTCTAAAAGTAGGTATGTGTGTAATTCCATTACTTTATATAATGTATACTAGTGTTCAGACGGACGTCTTGTGTGTATATGTTAAAGTATAGAAAGGGTAGTTTTGTGTACCATATTTCCCACGTAAATTCTAATTAAAGATGGAAAGAGGATAAATTATGTAGAAAAGTTTCTAAGTCTCATTTTGACATGGATGCAAGCCTTAGCATGTCTTTAATGTAACGACGATACATTAATACATCGTATTAATTAGGCATATGATTTTCGGTGTACTCAACGAAGAAGTTCACAAAGGTTTCCAACAAAGAATTTGGTAAATGTGTCCCATCTGATCCTATAACATATTATGGGCAAGCATCAGATCATTATGAAACTCTCCCATTATTTTAGTGGAATCGATGAAACACCCATTTATACAAGTATTGATAAAAGTTTTATTCTGCAATAAAAGAAAAATATATATATACTCTTTTGAAACAGACGAGACACCTCGAAGCTGCACAAAAATATAAGTTTGAATATTTTTATATATTTTTATTTGTGAATTAAACTAAATAAAGTTTACAAAATATCAATTCTAAACTATTTTTGAATTAAAGCTTATTTAATAAGAATTAGAAATATTATTTGTTCTGAAATTTCACGAATCAACCTTTTTCGTGAAACAAATATCACCGCTTACAGTTATCAGAAGCATAATCAAGAAAGCCGGAATAAAACAATTATTTTTTATATTCTTCTTCTTGGACAGCCTTCAGTAGTGCATCAATACTTGACAAAGAATGTCTTTTATCGATAAAATGGAAAAAAAAAAGTTTGTTTCCGTAATATTCGTCACCATAACCTTGCCTGTTTGTGTGATATATGTCAGTATGTTTTCGCCAGTGAAATGTTTGTGTCAATCTAAGTATTATTTCACTAGCCTGTTCGTCAGTAACGGTATCTTTCTATACCGTCCAACAAGTTCTAGTGTTACTCGTCCATTGCAAATGCAAATGCTCTCAAATACAATTTTTCTTTTTTTAATATATGCTAGCGAGCTCGATTTTCCTATGTACTTAGAAACAGTTTAAGAAAAAAAAAACAACAAACAAATAAACAAAGGTGAAAGTAAAGTATATAGTAAAGTTAGTGAGAAACAAGATGGAGAGGAACATGGTAATGTTTTTGGCAGCGGAAGAAAAATGATGACACAGAAATTTTTGTTTTCGGATATTCACACAAAACTATTTAAAGACTATCTACGCTAGCTGTCCCTAATTTTGAACTGATAGACTAGAGGAACGGCAGTTAGTCAACAGCATCCGCCCTCAACTACTGAGGTACTTTTGTCTGTCTGAATAGTGGAATTTGACTGTCACTCTTATAAAACACCCACAACCTAAAAATGTAGAGTGCGATTCTGTTCTTTTTTTTTTTTACTGTAACGTGACGCGAACAAAGGACCCACAGGTCTATAGTCAGTGGGTCACTATCGGCCAATAAGTTTGTGAATTTCAAAAATTGAGTTAAAAATCTTTTCTTCGGTAGAGACAATAAGGAACATCACTAAAACTAACCATTACGCTTGCAAACACAGAAACATGCTATTTTGCAGTAGCATGTCATATTATTTCACTTTTTAAATGGTTTAAATATTGTTTGTCACCATAAATATGCTATTGTTTGTTTGTTGTTAAGCACAAAGCTATACAATGAGCCATCTGTAAAGTTTCCACCACGGGTATCGAAACAGGAATCTTACCGCTGAGACACTGGGGACGAAACATTTTATCACCATTCTTTAGGGTAAGGTGTTTCAAGCTACACCGATAGGTGCCACTAGTGTAGTGTTATAATTGATGTGGACAAAGCCTTATTCTGATGTTTAATGACTTAAATAGATTGATAGCCAATTATAGTTGAACAGTTCACACCGAAACAACTTTTCAAGTATCTGATAATATAAATAATATCTCGCCCACTATTCTGTCT